GCTGCCGAAGGGCAGCATCAAGCTTCCTGACGGGAGCTTCTCGCTGCCCGACGGCAGCATCAAGTTTCCGGACGTCAAGCTGCCGAAGGGCATCGACCTGCCCGACCTCGGGCTACCGAAGGGCAGCATCAAGCTTCCCGACGGGAGCTTCTCGCTCCCCGACGGCAGCGTCAAGTTTCCGGACGTCAAGCTGCCGGAGGGCATTGACCTGCCCAGTCTGGGGCTACCGAAGGGCAGCATCAAGCTTCCCGACGGGAGCTTCTCGCTGCCCGACGGCAGTGTCAAGTTTCCGGACGTCAAGCTGCCGAAGGGCATCGACCTGCCCAGTCTCGGGCTGCCGAAGGGCAGCATCAAGCTTCCCGACGGGAGCTTCTCGCTCCCCGACGGCAGCGTCGAGTTTCCGGACGTCAAGCTGCCGAAGGGCATCGACCTGCCCAGTCTGGGGCTACCGAAGGGCAGCATCAAGCTTCCCGACGGGAGCTTCTCGCTCCCCGACGGCAGCGTCAAGTTTCCGGACGTGAAGCTGCCATCGGGCATCGACCTGCCCAGTCTCGGGCTGCCAAAAGGCAGCATCAAGCTTCCCGACGGGAGCTTCTCGCTGCCCGACGGCAGCGTCAAGTTTCCGGACGTCAAGCTGCCGAAGGGCATCGACCTGCCCAGTCTCGGGCTGCCGAAGGGCAGCATCAAGCTTCCCGACGGGAGCTTCTCGCTGCCCGACGGCAGCGTCAAGTTTCCGGACGTCAAGCTGCCGGAGGGCATCGACCTGCCCAGTCTGGGGCTACCGAAGGGCAGCATCAAGCTTCCCGACGGGAGCTTCTCGCTCCCCGACGGCAGCGTCAAGTTTCCGGACGTCAAGCTGCCATCGGGCATCGACCTGCCCGACCTCGGGCTGCCAAATGGCAGCATCAAGCTTCCCGACGGGAGCTTCTCGCTCCCCGACGGCAGCGTCAAGTTTCCGGACGTCAAGCTGCCGGGGGGAATTGACCTGCCCAGTCTGGGGCTACCGAAGGGCAGCATCAAGCTTCCCGACGGGAGCTTCTCGCTCCCCGACGGCAGCGTCAAGTTTCCGGACGTCAAGCTGCCGAAGGGCATCGACCTGCCCAGTCTGGGGCTACCGAAGGGCAGCATCAAGCTTCCCGACGGGAGCTTCTCGCTCCCCGACGGCAGCGTCGAGTTTCCGGACGTCAAGCTGCCGGAGGGCATTGACCTGCCCAGTCTGGGGCTACCGAAGGGCAGCATCAAGCTTCCTGACGGGAGCTTCTCGCTCCCCGACGGCAGCGTCAAGTTTCCGGACGTGAAGCTGCCATCGGGCATCGACCTGCCCAGTCTCGGGCTGCCAAAAGGCAGCATCAAGCTTCCCGACGGGAGCTTCTCGCTGCCCGACGGCAGCGTCAAGTTTCCGGACGTCAAGCTGCCGGAGGGCATCGACCTGCCCAGCCTCGGGCTGCCAAAAGGCAGCATCAAGCTTCCCGACGGGAGCTTCTCGCTCCCCGACGGCAGCGTCAAGTTTCCGGACGTCAAGCTGCCGGGGGGAATTGACCTGCCCAGTCTGGGGCTACCGAAGGGCAGCATCAAGCTTCCCGACGGGAGCTTCTCGCTCCCCGACGGCAGCGTCAAGTTTCCGGACGTCAAGCTGCCGAAGG